TAAATTCTGTCGTTCGCTTTCAATTCGGTTACTGAGTGATTTTACACGCATTGCAATTTCGTTCTCGATTGAGAAATGTGCAACATTAATCAAGTCAGCATATCATACGTTCCCTTTTCCGTCGCTAATTTATGAATCGATTGATAATACCAACTGCGAAGAAAAAGTGAAAAAGTGAAGAAATGTGAATCGCTTACTTTATATACGTGTTTATATAACGAAATAAATATAATTGATTATTTATTAAATAAAGTTGTTTATGAAGTAATAAAAACTCGTTTTATTCGTGATAACTAAATTAAAATCAAAAGTAATTCGTGTTTCGGCATAAATTTAATGCAGATATAACGCAGAAAATGGGGTAATATGCGTAAGATACAAGAGAATAATAATAATCGACGTCTATCTTGTTTGTCTTTACGCAAACAACCTATCTTCTACCGTGACAAACGCAATTAAACTTTTCAACCATCTTAGTATGTTCCAAGTTCGAATTAGTGTTCGTAGTCGTTTAGGGTAATTCGAATTTGTTTGCTGCGCAATAATTAGAGACGAAGCTAGGACGAGGAAAGATGGCAAGCAGCAAGTTAACTTTCTGTAATTTCGCAAATCATTGGGACAGCATAGAGAAATGTGTTTGCTTCACATTCCACTATTACTAACAACGGTATATGTTGAGCAATACGAAGGTGACGTTCGAAACATAAAAAATATATCACAGTTTCCTAAATATCAAATAACTTTCGATCAAACTTTCTTTTTAATGCAAATTATTTAAGAAGAGATTTAAGAGATTTATAATGAATAATATAATAATATAATAATATTAATAAATATAATAATAATGATATTCTTCATGAAGATAATGAGGATTTATCTTTAAAGTTTCTTCTCTTCTTTGAATGAAGACGAAGAGAAAGGAGACATGCGCGCTGTTCAGTTTATTTAATAGGATTTGCCACATCTTTATTTATCCACATTTCGCTTGTATCAAGTAACAGAGTTTCCTGATAAAACAACAATAAATACTTCTGACTCTCAAGCGCATTCGTTTAGATTGCAATTTAAACGTGGCATACTGCTAAGTTGAATTACATTAATGCTCGTTGGATTGTTCTAATGGATTATGTAACTTGAGCAAAGTTTAACTCCTATGTCTTTTCTGAGCGATTAAATCTTTATGGACATTTGTACTTTTCTCTTATATACATATTGTGTGTACCCAGTATTTTTAATAACTTTTACAAGTAAAAGTTATCGTTTCTCTCAAAATACTATTTCTTATTATAAACTGCTTCTCTCTCTCTCTCTCTCTCTCTCTCTCTCTCTCTCTCTCTACTCTCTCTCTCTCTCTCTCTCTCTCTCTCTCTCTTATTTATCGTCTCGAGCAATGCACAACGAATAAATGGAAAAACTTTTTTTCCGTGATATTTCGAGTGATATTTGTTCCACGCAAACCTTTTTTTTCCTCACCAACGACTGGCAGAGAGCACCAACGAGGCCAGCACGTAAACCTGTAGTTTACATCCCGCATCGCTGCTCGTGTTGCAATATAAATTTCACCCAGTATCTCCCACTCTACCGTCTCGTTTGAAGAATTCATAGGAGAGCAAAAAGCTGTCCTCGTTGTTTGCGGCAGAAAGGAGAAACAACGAAAGGGAACGACAATAATCGAATTTATTTCGCGTTAAGCCTCTCTCGTTTACTTTTCGAAAGATCTGTTGCAGTTCCTTCGACTCATCGCGTCGTCCCGTCATATTGTCGGCATTATACAAACGACTAATTAAAATTTTTGAACTTTGTTTCCCCGTCTTTTGTGAGAAAGATTTGTAAAAATTTGTAAAATTTTGTAAAAATTTGCAACCGTCGTAACATGTCGGGCACGACGAGAAAAGTGCTGGCTTAAAACTTGTCTTCAGTTTTTTAGAAGCTGCTGTGCACGCGACCGACGCGACTCGTCAGTGGAAGACTAAAAAAGTGTCTAGTGTCGAGAGGAATGATGTTTCGCCATTCTTGCTTTCGATAAGGCGCAAAGTGACTGCAAATACTTCCTTTTACAAGTTTCAGAGAGGGAATGCGGAAACACAGAGAAATACAGAGCGACAGCAAACTTAGATGAAAAGTATTATCACCTTTGGAAATCGACATAGTTTTGTCGCAGTGAAAAGCGCCCGATGGACGAAATGATGGTGAAAATTGTGACGAGAGGGTACGCGTGCGTGAGAATATCGAGCAAACATGTAGATTAGATTAGGCAGAAGCGGAGGAAGCACATCGACAGCCACGATACGTGATTTACCGCCCGTAGCCGTCGAGTACCAAAATCACATTTTCGTTTGCTTTACCAAGCGAGTTGATAGCATACGTCGCTGCTAGATATCGCCGTGAAAAGACGACAGTCGAATCCAACGAGATAAAATTTCGTTAAAACACTTCTCATTGACGAACATCGGGAGGTGGCAATTGAGATGAATGTATGTTAATTATATATGCCTTAAAAACCAAATTTATCATAACTCTATAAAATAGAAAACAGAGAATATTGATGAAAATATTATAAATTAATAAGACGTTTTTTTTAAAACTATATGTATAGATTTTACAAAAATTTGAAATCAATGATTTGACTTTTTAAAGATTCATTCACAAGATACAAAATAATATAAATTTTCTCAGAAATTTTTTCAAAAATATAATTTAATTTCAACAATAAATTCTTTTACACTTACATGAACATATCTTATTATTTTTATTACATATCTTTAAACGTTAAAAATATTTTAGTAATTAAATCTGAGTCTAACTATTTGGTTTGGTTGTAAATTATAACTGCAGAAATTTGACGATAAATATCTTTTTACTTGTAACAAAGCAACACGTGATTTTCATATCATTATTAATTTATATTTATAATATATAATATTAAAAGTAATATATAGTATTCGTAAGATTTTGTTCTTATAAATCCTTGAATTTTTGAAATTCATTTTTCGAATTCGTAACATTCCATAAAGATCATTGATTTCACTGTTGATATCGTGCACCTTTTAATATATAAAGCTTTAAAATAAAGAATAATGAAATATTACTCACGTTCTAAATTTTATGATTAAGTCCATCGAGGATGATCACGTTGTTTAATACTGGCAAATTTTATCCAGACGAGCATCGTGCTGTAACATAAAAAAGACAAAATTAAGTTAATCTTCTTAATCATATTAGATCAGTTTAATCGATAATAAAATAAAACCACGTGTCACATAATATACAATTTTCCGAAAGACAATCATTGAGATATCGAGGCGTTCGTGTTTGAACAATATCATATTAAAATGATATTCGTAAAACTTGCCTGAAAAACGACCGAGGTGTGTAAAGAACGGTATATTTAAGTGAAAAATAAGTGGATACGGGAGTATCCTATCCTCTTCAAAAGGTTTTTGACAGGTCTTTCGGCGGGTCAGTGAGACCGTATCTTACAAAAGTATCGACCAATCATTCTGGCGACATTTTCACTTTTCCTTTTCTTTCCCTTTTTTTCCTTTGTCGTACGCGCAAGACCGCTCGACACACGCGAACGTGAGGACGGTGAAATGTGACGAAAGGGATTTTCATTCACGCGCCTGTCGCTTTGCAGGATGTGAAAAATGTGACGGCACACCACTCGACAATCCGACAAGAGACTGGCGTCGATTGGTCGCGCGGTTTTTTAAATCTCTTTTAAATAGATTAAACTCGCGTTCGAGTTGAAATCATCGGACTCTCGCGTTTGACGCGACATTTCTTGGCAAGTGTCAGGCACGCGCTACGTGCGCGGCTTCGCCCGAAATATTTTAATATTTTCTTACAGCTGCGAGAGACGCGAGATTTCCAAAGGACTTATCCCGCTCTCCTCCAATGTAAATAGCAATTTCTGCGCGGCGCGGAGAAAACGCGCGGAGAAACGTAGCACGGTGAACTTATCCCGAAGCTCCCCTTGCTCAACGTCTATTTGACACGTACTGCATTTTCGCGACGTACGAGTAAAAAGAATGGTTGCCGGAACGAGAAAATCGGCCAGGGGTGAAATTATTCTCAACACCTGTTCTCCCGCGGGATGTAACGCGACGTATATTCTTATATCCAAGTTGCTCAGATAAATCAGGAAGCTTGGGAAGCGTCTGAAACAAGCACTCATCTTTCTCCAAGGCAAATTTACTGTTCTGTACGAGGATGTATTTAAGCCCGATATCTCGATTCCTCGATTCATCGTGACTGTATTAGGACTGCACCGAAAAGTATTATAGTTTTCGGTAGGAAAAGACCAAGTTTGCAAATAAACTTTTATACCAGATCGCTTACGTGGCATGAAAGTTCAAGCGCCTCGATTTTCTTCTCGGACCATAGATTATTCAGGGGGCAAGCAAAAAAGCGAACACGTACATATGAAGAAGGAGGAACAGAAGGACGATGGCGATAGAAGAGTGGTCGGGTCGCGAGCAAAAGTTACAGCTGGATAAGAAGCAGAGTCGAGAGTCGAGTTCGTGCTCGATTTGGCTCCGAAACTTGTACGCCGTGCTGCTTTATATCGCTATAAATATTACGCAAGAAACCAGGACCGTTTTTATGAAAAAGAAGAAAGAAAAAGAAAAAAAAATAAATAGAGAAAAAAAGAAAAGTCTCAAACTATACTGCACACTACGTTCCCATCGCGCTTTTCCCGCGAGAACGGACAATTTCGTGTTAAGTCACGGAATTTATTGCCCTGTACCGCGAGGTTTTTTTGCCTTTTTTTTTTATTGCGGAATATCTGCTCTTCCCTGGCGTCGACGGTTCCTTTTAACGCGCGAAATATCGCGCGCTGCCTCCCGCAAAATTCGAATCTACCGCCGAGAAGCGTCCTTCCATAATCGATCGAACGACCCAAATTTTTGCGCCGAATGCATCCGCGCGTTATATTTAGCGAATTACCAATTGCACAGCCAGGAATACCACCGTTCGTTCATTAGACAGATGGTAACATCGTACAGAAACGCTGATATTTTTAAACATATCCGATAATGTTCAATTATATCCTCAATATTCACGGAACTTCAATTAAACGCGCTCGCTAGATTTTCACCATAATTCAATACATTTGGCGGTAAATAATGGTAAATAAAAAGGTATGTTATCCTCGATGTGAGAATGATTGTGGGGAAGGTTGCCAAAATAAAGCGGCGACGCGAGATCGCTTTCCATTTTCCGCATCTGCAAGTAGATTGATTTTCGAATAAAGGAGGATTCCATTCAAGGGCCAAGGGGGTAGACTCAATCTCTCTCTATGGGAAATGGCTACGAGACACGCAGTCACCTTTTCTCGTAAATATGTGTTAGGTTCACTGAAAATTGCGTGACCAGAAACACGCCAAATGCTAGACGCTATTATTTACAATCTGTTATATAGTATAATAGAGAACGATAATAACATATAACAACACATGATAAATACATTATTATACGGTTTAACATTGGTATTAGATAAAAGATAAATTAGATAAAAGAACGTTTATTGTATATAAAATTACTATAAGATTATCGTATAAGATTGTCATTGTTATTTGTAAAAGGATGATAATAACATGAGATATATAATAACATGAAAAACATATTATTATTATTATTATACGATTTAATATCATTACACAAAAATGGTGCTCACGTTCCGTATAGAGTGTGAATTATCAAGTCCAAACTGATTAACAGTTTGCTCCGGCAACGATCTTTCAGAAAGAAAATGGCAGTCGTTAACGTATACGGTCACGTTCGTACATGCAAAACGACATACCGTTCTCAGCATACGAACGTCTCCTCCTTCTTTCTTTTTCTCCTTCTCTTTTTTATTTCCATTTTATTCCTTCGTTCTCCTTCCCTCCTTCCTTCTTTAACATAACCTTGAGCTTATTTTTTAGGTATATTTTCATTAATGAAAAAAGCGGCAGCTTACCATAGGCCGCATTACGTGCTTGTGCGTGACGACAACGAATACGAGGGCGGAGTTTTGGATGTGAATGAAAAGTCACGAAACTTTCGATGAATATAGAAGGCGCTGCGCGAGGCAAACATAAAATAGCCGAATCGACAGTGCGGCAAGGCGAGTTCGGATCGTCGCGGAAGTTTGTGGAAATTCGTAGCGGAAGCTCGGCTAGCTTTATTTTTCAGCCACGTACGTACATTCGTACGTGCACGAGAGCGATCGAAAGGGCAGGAAGAGAAGTATACGCGTTACAAATTCGTGTATCCGAGCGTAAGCGGTAAAATATGTATGTTGCGTAATTTGCTTGAAAGCTCGTAACATGTCAGTGCCGTGAGTAATCGCGCACAATAATTCGGGGTACATTAGGGTCGCCATCGCGCCGCTTCATTAAAGTGCCTCTTATATCAAACGGACACGCACGGCGAGCAATCGAAAATCGTAACTGCAGATAACAAGGTACGATCCACTTTTTCTTCTTTTCCTCCGCGATTCATAATCGCCGCGTCACGCGATCCGATCATTTCCCTTTGCTTCCTTGAGAATGTCTTTAACAACAACAACCATCTACGATCCGACGTTCGTAGAATATCCTAAAGAGGAAATAGGAGGACATATTTCGAGTTTAAAGTCAGTGTATTCGTAATAGGGCTGCTTTATATAATTTAAGGATACAATTCTCTAAATTTTAAGTATGCATACATGTCTCTTTGCAACATCTCCAATTAATCAAATTTTTATTACAATTCACATGAAATTAGAATCGAGCGGTATGCTTTTGTTGCCTCTTATGACACGAAATACGATACGATTACATTTACCGAAGCAATGCTCAAACAGAAAACGATAGTGGAGAGACAAACTTACGCCTGTCGATATGACAACATGCGTGACATATGTGTTTCCCCGAGTGGGAACAGGCTGGAAATGTTACGAAAACGTGCATTCATGCTTAATCTATCAGGTTTGTCTTAGGTAATACATAATCCGACTTTAATTAATGAGTCGTATCTTCTTATTGGGCCTCGTGTAGTTTCAGGTCCGTCGTTATCTCTCATTGCGACACGCCGGAATCGGGGAAAGGACTGATTGAATCTCGGCGATTAAATTACTCGTGAAGCCGAACAAACGCGCGTTCGTCTGCCATCGGTGATTTCCAAGGAGGCTGGACCATGCAGCCGGAAAATCGATAGCGCAGATTCGCACCTAAAGCCAAGCCGCGTATCGAAGATTGCAAGGAGATTCAAGAGGAAAAAAAAAAAGGAAGAACAAATTTTGAAGAGCTACGTCATAATAATATTCCAGTAACATTAATAGCGTTTTCGACGTGCATATGGCACGTCGAAGCTTTTTTTCGAAGAATAATTTAACCTTTTTAATATCGTCTCATCATTGTTGTGACGCACACTTAGAAATTGCCTCGCCGTCCGGCAATTTTAGAAATGCCGCCGGACGTTTGACTGTACTGCGCTAACATTACCTTACGGTTGACGCAATTATATCACACGAGGGAGTGTGGTGCTTGCATATAATGGAGCTTGCTTGGAGGTGCCGTTGACGACAGCGTCTCGAGAAAGAGGGCGGTTAATGTCACAGGAGTCGATAATAGTGAGACACATCGATGTCCTTTGTAATAAGTACATATTTGTAACGTCGAAAATGCACGCTGTGTCCCAATTCCCGTAAGGGAAATCACCGGGATTGGAAGGGAGGGATTGCAAAACGCGGAATGTCAATTTCGCTACTCTGTGTGAAATACGCTTTGCGTACCGAGCACATTGTCCTTTTTTTCACATACATTACTGATAACCCCGAGTGTAATTAATTTCTCGGTTCGTTTATCCTTGTTTATTCGCAAATTTCATTAATGGAAACAGAGTCGCGCGTTAAATTGTTGGCCAACAATGAGATGGATGAGGTAAAAACTTTCGGTGCGTCACGCAAATATTTTCCGATTACTAATGTAAAATATTGCAAGTGTTTGTTGGTTTCAGCCATCATTTTTTCGCGCGTTTTATAAAAAGCGGAAAAGCGGAATATGTGAGAGATGTATTATCGAACAATAGGATGCATCAACGTATATCTCATGCGTAATGAGGCTCGACCTTTTTATCGTCGATTATTCTGTTGGAGTTTGGTCACTTAATAACGGAAATATGTGATAGTTTAGGTCCAAAAATG